AACAGGTGGGCAGATGGAATTGGAAAGAGGAAACACAGGGCCCTGGGGGCCTTCCTGACACTAAGCACGCAGTCCAGGGACATGGCCAACACACTCGGGCAAGTTCTGGTTTGCTGAACAGGAAACAAGGTGAAGTCGCTAGATTTGCTTTGAGCAAATTTCTGTCTCCGTCACTGTCAAAACAATGAATGCTATTCTTTCCTCTGGTAAGAGAGTTTAAATACGCATTGGATTTAAAATTCTCAACATTTTTATGTTCCTTTCATTCTGACTAGAATCACCTAAGCCCTCTTTATGGGCAAGGGTGAGTTATTTTTCTGTCTTCCTATTTGATCTCTCTGTTTCAGTCCATCCATTAGTATTAGTAGCTGTAGTAGTCATCGTGGTCTTTTTTTAAATAAAAATAATAGCTGCAAGAAAGCAGCGGTGATAAAGCAATAGCCCCTATGCCCAAGGACAGATAAGGTCAACTGTGGCCACAGTGACCATCCATGGAATGGGTCCATGACCCAAGCCAGCCAGCTTCTTCCCTGACATTTCATAGACACTTAGAGGAAGGTTTTCTCTCCTGAGGCTGCCAGCTGGTGTTATGCGGCTGTGGACTCTGCGATGCCTGAACTCTCTGTGGCCATGCCTCTGCGTTCCCACCCCTGTTGCTTCCCACACCACTGAGAAGAAGAGACTCGTTTTCAGTAAAGAACGAGGTCAACACAGGGAGAGAGCGAGAGAGCGAGAGAGCAAGAGAGAGAGTGCATGATAACCAGATGTTGATGTGATGTGTTGGCCCTGGGGATCATGAGGGGGACCTTCCTTTTCCTCTTGGCTGGTCGAGGCTTGGGCTTCTGACCAGTTCCGGCCAGTTAGATAGAAGGGATGTCTGCCTGGAGCTTTTCAGAAAGCATAACAGCAAAGAACTCTACAAGTTGGCTAACCAGCTGGAAAACTTTCACTGGAAACAAAAAGTAGTTAACTATTTGTTGCTCGTTAACTCTGGCTATTAACTAACCTTAACTTAAAGAAACAAAACACCACCATTATTTCACAAATCTCTGGAAATTTCCTTTTGCAGACCACCCCCAAAGACTGTTCCTGGCCCACTAAACCCTACGCCCCTCTTATAAACACAGCCCTGTTGCTTCTGCCTCTGTGCAGACAGCAGGCCTTCACGACGCATCTGCCCTTTGATCAGTCGACCTTTCTCCATTCCTGACTGTCTTGGTAGATTCTTCTTACCAACCTGCGACTCCGGCCATACCAAACCCAACGCCGCGCACGGCACGCAGGAACTGGTCTGGGAGTGTGACTAGACACAAGGATCTGAACTCCAACTCGGCAAACGCTGGTTTGGTTAAGGCTTATTTAGAAAATGCAATGGATGGACAGATTCTTCAGACGTCCACGAAGCATCTGCTACGCTTCAGACACCGTGTGGGTGATGAGGGTGCGAGGACGAACGAGACAGTCTCCCCCTGGGGACGCCACCAGTCCAGGTGGGCAGGTGTGCAAAGCAGGTGGTTCTAGACCACACAGATGGGGTGACGGGGCTATGTACAGAGTGTTAGGGAAACCCCAAGGAAGAGCACCCAATCCAGCTTGTGTGGGGAGCTCAGGGGGCCAGGGAGATGACAAGTGAGGACGAGGGCAGCAGTTCTAGAAATCCCAACAGGCCCACCTGTCTTTGCTGAGGCTTTGTGGAACCAAGGCAGAGGGTTAAGAATCTGGGCCTGATCCAAGCCCATGCTTCACCTCTCCGTAGACGCCCTGGACATGTTCCCTGACCTCTCTGCCTCACCTTCTCCATATTTAAAAGTGGTAACGGCAGCATCTCCCTGAGAGGGTTGCTGGGAGGACTAAATGACATAACGTTCCCGAAGCCAGTGGTGGCGGGAAGGACTCAGCCTTCTGGGGCCCCCGGCGTTGTCCAAACAGCTTCCTGTCTGCAAGCACTTGATGACTGACTGTCCCTCACAGCTGTTAGCATTTCGGAAGGCCCCACTTAAACCTCTGGGTGTGGCCCTCACCACGGGGAGTTTCACGGTGGTTCATGTTGCTGCGCTGTGACCTGAGGACACGGCACGGAACATTCGGATGTGCGGGGTTCCCCCTCACCCCACAAAGTGACCTCGGGCCCCCATGGCTCTGGAACTGCTTGCTCTTTCCTCTATCCCATGCTCTGTCCTTGGGATGTGCAGGACACCCCATGCTCCCCTCCCCGACACACACACACTAAGCGGCTTCTGGCCCCCATGACTCTGGAATTCTTGTGTCCACGGTTCAGTTTGCCTTTTCTTCCTTCTGCCCGAGTTGTCTTTGGCAGACCTCTCACCTCCTCCTTAAAATGGCTGCTTTTTATTCAGAGACCAGAAATCAAAAAAGCTGAGATGGTGCAACTGTGTCAACAACACGGCTCCCTGTGGATGGAGACTGTCTTTAAAAGAAGCAGCCTTGGTGCCTGTCGAGTTCTGACATCGCTGCCCTCTGTGCCTCCTCCTGTCCTTAGGTGGTGGCGAGCACGCGGACTGCCTTTATGGGATTAAACTTTCTGATAATGGAGGTACGACCGCATGGTCTTGACTGGTTTCTGTTTGGGGTCCACTGTGGTTATTCTGGGCTTGAAATCACAGTTTAATGCACACCCCTGGCTGAGACCACGCACTTGGATTCCAAGTTCCCAGTGACATGTTTTCCCGCCTCCCTCTTTCCTCGGAAGTCTGGGCCTGCTCCCCACCTGTCCTACTGCTCCCAGGTGTCTCGGGTCACGGGGGGTGAGCTCGCCTGGGGTTTACCTGCCTCAAGTCCCCAGCTATTCTTTAATTGAGACAATATTTGTGTTGGCTAAATATTGGCACAGGTAAGTCATCATCCTGGCATGTTCACAAACACCGTGGTGGGTGCTGTGCAGATGTCTTGACATTTACAAGCTGGGTTTCATCTCTGCACATGCGCAGGGATGCCGCACTCACCCCCGGCAGGCAGGTCTGTTCCTGCAGGGCTAGTCCCACTCCAGCCCCACGTTTCTCAAACCCTGCTGCACACTGAGTCACTAGGGGAGCCTTTAACAGGTCCCGATGCCCAGGACAACCGCCAGACCTGTTAAATCAGACTCTGTGGTGGGACCCAGGCACCGGCAGCATGTAGAACTCCGCAGAACTCTGCGATGACTTCAAGGTGCGGGCGAGTGGGAGAACTCGTTCCCAGACTGGTGCTTCTGAGACTCTGATGTGGGTGAGAGTCGCTGGAGGACTTTGTTCAGAGGTGGATTATGAGTCAGTAGGTCTGGGTGGCCCTGAGACTCTGCATTTCTGACAAGAGTGGATGCTGCTGCTGGTCCAGGGACCGCACTTTGAGTAGCAAGGCTGTTGTCCTTTCTAGTGCCTGTCTATTAGCCTTGCAAATAATTTCCCGGAAATCAGGAGTCCATCTGAGTTTGTGATATTTCCATGCTTATCACCGGGCCCCCCCGGTCTCGTTTCCTCACTCTCGCTCTGCCCAACTCCACAGCCACTCTCGTGGTCAAGGAATTGCGGTACTGAGCTCAGTCTCTGGTTTTCTCTAGACAGTGATTCTCTTGCAAAGGACCCGCACAGTAGACAAGAATTGGTGTCTAAACTGAGCTAAACCTGGGCAGACCAGCCTCCGGATCTGACGTCCCTGTCATGCACACATTCTAAATGCAAAGCTCCTTGAGACAAGCACGTCTCCTCTAGGCTAAACCAACTCTAGGCAAATGGTGACAACCCGGGGTCTTGGCTCTTGCTACTCCAGATAGTTTAGTCTTACCCACATGAGGTCTTCAGTTCTGCAAAATCATGAATGATGGCAAAAGCACTGGGGAAGGCATGGAGCCAAAGTAACGTTCAGTTTCAAGATTGGCAAGAATTCCAGATTACAGTACCTTGGGAAATGTGATTTCCTGGCCTGTATTCCACAGCTTTGCCACAATATTTGCCAGTTATCTATTGGTCTTTGTCTGTGGGCACAGTCTTGGGGAGTCAAAACTTTTCTAAGAGGCTTCTAAAATAGTGTATTTAATGCTGATAAAAACTTAATAATTAATATAAAACAAACTAGATCATCAGGGTGACCAAGGGTTGGCCCATGATTTCAATGCCTGCATTTGTGTTTGTTTTTATGATTGCTTGTATGCCACATAACCATACCTTAATTGTTGCAGGATAATGATAAAAGAACAGAGAACAGAGGGAAGTTTGATAGAAATGCCATGTGTTTGAGCCAAGAGGAGCTCCAAGGGAAATACAAGTTTCTCCGTAGTGGAATAGAGAAATGTGATCCAAGAACTGAGATGTGACACAACGCACCGTGTTTTAGACTTGCTGAGACTCAAAATAACAAAGCAAAACAAACCCCCAAACCCAGCATTACAGCCATCAGGACCAGTTCACTGGAGCACAACCATTAAATTGCAACAAAATGACATCGTCTATTACACTCAGTTGGTAACTGCATTTAAACATCATGGACTCACATTTTGTTAGTATTTAATGTGCAAATTGGTTTTGTTGTGTCGTTGTTTCAAAGCGAAATTATTCTAGTTTTAAGTTTGTACATAATCAAGCAACTTTCTAATGCAAATAATTTTAGCCGCCGCTGGAATAATTATTTGTCATCTAAAAAATTTTGCATTCACTTCCTCAGCAAGTGCTGATACCCTGGGCACATGTTTGGTTTCCTTACTGGTTTCTGAAATGTCACGGTGGTCATGGAATAGCTTCGTGCACTCCATTCCAGGGGCCTGTTAACGGGACATTGTTGAGCTCATGGAGTGAGCTCCCAGAAGGTGACATTTTTATAGTAGCTGCAAATATTGTAACATGCTTTTTGCAGGGACACATTTCCCTGCTTGGAAGTCATGCCTGATGACGAAACTTTCAGGCTGGTGGCCAGTGGAGGGTCCACCGCAACAGGTGGTTGGTGTCTAACTCGGGCCTGCGGGAGAGTGGGGTTATGCCTATGATTTGGAGGGAAAATAAAGTGCTTACGGGCTGAGGGGCCTCCGACTCTCCGTTCCCTGACGGGCGGCTGAGAGGTGACATGACCGTCGAGGATTGGGTGTCCCCTTGGGGCAGTTGTCGACCGCCTTCCGAGAGGCAGTAAGACTGGCTCTGAGGATTCAAAAAGGAGACATGTGAAAGTGCTGGCCCGCTCTCAGAGGGCAGCTGCCTCATGGGGTGGACTTTCAAGGGACACTGTTGTTCCCCTGAGCTGCGAATGCAGGGGCCAATGACCATCCCAAGGTTCTCAGCATCTACCAGACATATTTCAAAAGTAGATTTCAGTTTCACTGAAACTCATAATCTAGTGTGAAAATGCTCTTTACCTGTGATTTTAAAAGTGACACCTTTCCTAAGAAAATATTCAGGCTGGGCTCGGTGGCTCAGCCTGTAATCCCGTGCCTTGGGAGGCCGAGGTGAGTGAATTGCCTGAGCCCGCGGGTTCGAGACCCGCCTGGGCAACTTGGAGAGAACTCATCTCTACAACAAATCAAAAAATTAGCCAGGCGTGGTAGTGCGCGACTGTAGGTACAGCTACTTGGAGGGCTGAGGTGGGAGGATCGCCGGAGCCCAGCAGGTCAAGGCTGTGGTGGCCGGGAGCAGCCACTGCACTCCAGTCTGGGTGACAGAGTGAGACTCCAGCTCAAAAAAAAAAATTCATAGGTTTGTAAACATCTGAGTGCAGATTTAATATATAACAAAGGAAAAAACCCTACAAAGTAACAGTTTACAGAAAATTTGGGGCATTATTTTCTTTGCCACTAGTAAGTGTACATGCAATACATCATTCTCGCTTAGGGAAACTACAGTAGGTAGCTTATTAAAGTCTTCCTGGAATAGCTTTAGATGGACATTTCTTAATGTAAAAAAATCAAGATTCAATTCTGATCTGTCTTGCGTGCATTTTGGCTCCAAATGGCAACGCTCTGGTCAGTTTTTAGACATTAGCAATTTATAGACATGCTATTTGTGAGTCTAAATATATCAAAAGGAAAGTAAGGTGTTAAATATATTCCATGAATATCTACAAATATCTGGATGCTAGATGCTATTTAGAAACAATACTGGAATAGTTTCATCTTCCAATCCAAGTTATATGGATTTATAGGAGTAAGCTTACCTTGGTCTACTGATGTTTGCAACATGGCCCTATCTTTCTCAAAAAACTCTGAGTGGGCATAGTCTATGAAGTTTTGTATAACTTTGATGCAAACTACCAGCTCTAAGTCATACATTCCACAGATACATATTAAGCATTTTCTTCCTGCAAAGCACTGTTTATTGCTTTACTTTAAATACTTCCTTCTAAAAATACTTTAAATACTTCTTTCTAAAAATCCTAAAATATTTTTGGCCAGTGGGGGATAATATCTTCCCAATGCAGTTAAAAAGCAACCAAGCATCAAGAGTAATCATTGTAGCAAAGTATAAAAGTATCGGTCATGATTTTATCGTTCAGATTCTTCTACATGCCAACCAAAAAGAAAACTGTTTCCCGAAGGCAATGAGTACTTACGTGACGATTGCCCATTTTCGTTTTCTGAGATGGCTGTTCTGTATCTCATTAAGCGATCGGTCCTACAGCAAAGTTTATAGTGGTTTTCCCAGGGCCTAGTATCTCTTGTGTTTAATCAGTAACTTTTGGCATTGGATTTGAATACATTGGTGGGGATGGGTAGGGAGTGGCTCTGTCTACAAATGCAATTAAGCTGCCCCAAGCCTTGGTCTCCATCTTTTAAAATAAAATATGTACGCAGTACAGAGTGTAGGCTTTTAAAGCTGAAACTTACCCACAACTGAAAGACGAAACCTGCTTCACTTCTGGGTTGATAAAAGAGCTATTCTTTCATATTTTGGGTGTTTATTTGACACTTTATACCTCTTAATAGAAAGCATTAACCAAGTAGACAGAAAGCATGTGCTGTTTTACTCACATTACTATTATCATTGCCGAGAATTTTTTGAAGACTACATTGAGTTATGCTGGGTCATTTTTACAACTTAACTGGTTTTTAAATTGACAAGTATGTGCAGATGGTACTTTTTTCTATTAATACAAAAAGGCACCATGAAAAGCAAGCCTACTGACTTCCTGTGCCTCCCCCAGAGGCTACTTGAGTTCTTCCAGAAACAGTCTTGGCATATTCAGCCATGTCTGTCTCTCTTGTTGCCTTTCTCTGTGGAGCTATATCTGATCGCCTGTTTTCCCTCAACAAGCGAGTTTGTCCGTGCACTCTGTTCCCAAAGGCAACGTAAGTGTGTGTTACATGGATACTTTTCTTTCTTTCTTTTTGATGACACGTTACGACAACACATCTCTTTTTTTGTTCCTACACATTTACGGGATACATGAGAAATTTTGTTACATGTATACAATGCGTAGTGATCAAGTAGGGAGTCTTCGGGTGTGATCAAGTTGAGAGTCTTAGGGTGTGCGTGTCCCCAGTACAATACGTTTTTGTTTCGTCGCCCTACTCTGCTATCAAAGGCTGAGTTTATTCCTTCATCTCATGTGTGTTCGTAACCTTTGACCTGGCTCTCTTCATCCCCCTCCCCCACTCACCCTCCCCAGACTCTGTTCTCCGCCTTCCCGCTCTCTGTTTCCATGTGGTCCAGTTTCTTAGTTTCCGCCTGCAAGTGAGAGCACACGGCATTTGTCTCTTTGTGCCTGGCTTCTTTCACTTAATGCAATGACTTCCTGCCTGTATGTTTCGTATACTGAAGAGATAGATGTCATGGGCGCATGGCTTTCTCAGTGGCCACATGGGAATCTTCTGTGGGTATGATCCAAACTTGATTTCATCAGTCCGCCACTGAAGGTCACTTAGGTTGTTTTTGGTCTTTTGCATACATATCTTTTTTTTTTTTGAGTTGGAGTCTCACTCTGTCGCCCAGACTGGAGAGCAGTGGCCGCTCCCAGCCACCACAGCCTCCACCTGCTGGGCTCCGGCAATCCTTCCACCTCAGCCTTCCGAGTAGCTGGAACTACAGGTGCGTGCTACCACACCCGGCTGATGCATACATATCTTATATGTTTGCTCATGTTTCCTTATCTGCAGAATAAAATCTTAGAATAGGACTGCTGACCAAATAGTATGTGCATTTAAAATTCTGATGGATGTCGCCAAGTTTTCCTCCACACAGGCATAAAAGGCTGGACCACTCTCCAAGACCAGCTGACCCATGAGGCTTACTCTCAAAGGTGAAATTTACACCCCTAGGACAATTCACGGGTGTTCATTTGCCCACATATATTGGCCAGCACGAAATACGAGCAAACCTTTTCATTTCTGCTAGTTTCCAAGATAAAGAATGGTATCTTGTTTAATTTACATTTCTTTCATGTGATACCCTTGAGAGTGTATACCCTGTTCCTTTGAAGTCATTTGGATGAATTTTTCTATGGTTTGCTTGTTTGTGTCCTTTGTTTTTCTTTTGAGTTATTAGCCTTCTCATTACTTATTTGTAAAACACTTTATTTATACTACAATCTAGGCTTTATATGATGGAGGCTTTTGTCAAGCGTAACAATTATTTTCCCCTGCTTGCTGTTTGTCTTTTGTGTTTTGAGTATGTATGTACGTGTGAAGGAGGTGTTCATTCTTACTTTCAAATAGAGGAATCTTTTTTTCTTTGACTCACTTAGAAGAAACTTTTCTGCATTAGGACGTTTAAATCTTCTTGTGCATTTCTTCAGGTTCTTTTAATGGCTTCATGTTTGAGGGCTTGCGTATTTAATTTATTGGAATTGATTTTGATATGAATGAGGGAAGAGGGGTCAGCTTAGCTTGGGTTGTTCAGTTGACCCTAGAGAGTTATTGAACAATTTCTCTTCTCTCTGTTGGTTGAAGGTGTCGCTTGTGCTTTATGGTAGGTTCCCATACGACACAGACTAAACTTTTGTAGAGGTTTATTAAATCCTGATTTTATATATTTGCTCCTTCGTTCTTTAGCTTTTGCGGAGTGAGTGTGTTGGATGTGCTGATTGCTGGGGCAATGACCAAGACAGAGATAGACTTTCTTTTCCTAGAGTTTACAGTCAAGTGTCTTTCCTGCTTTTTTTTTTTTTTGTCAGACTGGTAATGTGCCCACGTCCTAACAAGGTTTCAGAGCGACACATCTCACACCTGTGCACATGAGTACCCAATCATTGTGCAAAATGAACCACAAAAGGATTTGCAGTCAAGTTGGCGGTGGAACGGGGCAGAAGGTGAGAGGATGAGGCCAACACCCAGCACAGTGACCACTTGCTCTGCTCTTTTGCAGAGTGTGTAATTTCTGCTTTGCTGTCTTTTGCCTCCCTTGCCAGCCCCAGACTTCTCCCAAGGGCCATGCCCTCTCTGGCCACCTGTGTCTCAACAACCCCCTGGATGCCCCCGGTCGGTGACATCTTGGGGGCCAGAAAGGGCAGGGTGGCTTGATGTGAGGTGCTCCTTGTGGAGACAAGCGCTGCTCAGGGAGCCAAGCTGTGGAACACAGGCTGTGTCCGGGTAAGAGGGAGACGTTGATGGCAGCAGGGTGGTCAGCCACAGAGGGCCGTCTGTCCCCACCACCATGGACATCTCCTGATGATCAGGTGTGTCCAGCCTGAGGCCCATGACCTGCACACGGCTCAGCACCGCACTGCATGTGGCCCAGACGCTTGCGACACCCTGTGTTTTGAGCGTTTACTTTCTTTGTGACCCCGTGTGTAGTTCCATTTCTGAGGTTCACACTCACGCCTGACTCATGATGTGGTTTTTTGGCAGCTCATGCGAGTGGGAGCAGCTGTTTTCAACGATGAAGCCCACGGAGAGCAAAGCGTGAAGAGAGAAGCTCTTTGAGAGCTCGCTAAGAACTGCGACCGCTTCCGTCGACCCAGACACCGATAGGTTAGTTTTACAAAAAACAAGGTCAGATTTCCCACAGGTTTTATATCGCGCTCATTTTCCTAAGCTTTATAATAAAAGAAGTCTTATCATGTCTGTACACGAACTCTATCATATAAAGTATGTGCAGCCAAGACAGCTCCTCTTCACTCAAAGCAACCCAGGGAAGCCGAAAGGCTGGACACCCCAACCTAGGTGCTTCCAGTCAGGTTCCAGCTCGGCCGAGGTGGGGCTCTCCTGCGTCACCTGCCTCTTCCCCGGGTGGATGGCCCTTCGGCAGTGGCAGGACGGGTCCCAGAGTAGCCGCAGGGGGGAAGGGGAGACCCTGCTGGGACCTCGGGCCATTTTGGGGGGGATGTGGTGGTGGCCTGGGGGGAGGAGAAGGAGAAGGAAGAGCCCGGAGACGGGACCCGGGCCGGGTGGGGGGTGGCAGGAGGGGCTGTTGTCAATGTTATGAATGACTCTTCTACCAGGCCTGGCCCAGCTACTCAGATCTCTCGACTTTGGTGGTTCTCACAGGGGCGGCACTGCCCACTGCGAGGGCAGGTGGCACTGTGTGAGAGCATTTGGGTGGCCAGAATGACAGGAGGGTGGGGTGGGAGCCCAGCCTGGGATAATCAGCATCCTGCACTGCCGGGGACACTCCCACACCACAAAGACCGTCCAGCCCCCAAAGCCCACAGAGCTCCCCCCCACTGAGAGACACCTGTTGGGAGACTCCCCGGCCCATCTTCCCTGTAGGTAGGGCTATGTCTGCAGACCAAGAGCTTACGAACTTCCAAGGCACGCCTGGGTTCTTAAAACCTGTAAAATCTGACAGTTGCAGTGGTATGAGCTTAACTGTGACACCAGAAAAGTATGGAAGATGAGGATGTGAAAATGGACAAGTGGGATTGTAAGAGACCAATCACTGGGATCGACTCCTCATTCTGCAGATGGGAAAACTCAGGTCCTGGGAGCCACATGGCTGGTGTAGCCTAGGCCAGGTGGTTGCAGGCAAGCTGGTGGGATGGGACTGTTTAGCACAGAGGCACCTTGGCCTATGGTGGGGTTATGATAGCCCAGCATAGACTGAATTGCTGCTTCTTTAGTGCATTTAGCACACCTAGCCCACCAACCATCCCTGCTGAGCCCAGCCTAGCTTAAGCGTGCTCAGAACACTTACGCCAGCCTACAGTTGGCAAAGTCATCTACACAAAGCCTTTTTATCGTAACGTTGGTGTCTCATGTAATGTACTGAATGCTCTGCTGAAAGTGAAAAGCAGAGCAGTGGCCTGGGCGTCCTTAGACAGGGAAATGCAGCTTGTGAAGACAGGCACACAGGGAGGGTCTGAACGGCAGGGACAGAGTGAGGACAGCAGTCACAGGTGAGGCACGCCAGGGGTTGCCACTGGCTGCACAAAGCCTGGAAAGGCCAGGAGGGTCCCCTCACAGGCTTCAAAGGGGCACGGCCCTGCTGACACTTGAGTTTTGGACGTCTGTCCTCTGGAATATGAGACAATGAATTTCTGTTGTGTTAAGCCACCCAGTTTGTGATACTTTGTTGCGGCAGTCCTAGGAAACGAGTATTGTGATACTTTGTGGCAGCAGCCACAGAAAATGAACACACATGTCACACACACAAACAACATGTGTCAGTTGCTGCGAGAATCACAGCAAAGACATGATGCTGTGTAATTTGTATTTAATAAAATTTCCAAGCCGGGCTCAGTGGCT